AAGGACCTCGGGGCTGGTGCCTGCAGTTCAGCTCTCAGTTCCGGCTCCCTGAACTTTTTTTTTTTTTTTAATTTTACACTTCACTAGTCTAGGACAGGAATAAGCTAGTTAGGTGACTGACGAGAACAAATTCCTGGAAATGATTATGAAACCTTCTACACATGAGCTGAAGAGAGAGAAACAAGCAAGACTTTAAAGCTTTAAACAGGGAAGAAGCTGATTAGATCCTCAGGCCAGAAACCCAAGCAAGAGGGAAGGTAGGGTGGTACAGCAAGCCAGGACGTAGCTGTGCAGGTGGGCACCTTGCATTCATCTCCCAGCTTGTCTTTTCCCTAGTAATGTAACTATCTAATTTCTCTGGACCTCAGTTTTCTCATCTGTAAAATGGGAATTATTATACCCACCTTACAGAAATGTTGCATCAAATAACATAAAGAATGTGAAAATACTCAAGATCATACCTGCCATGTAGAGACATGTTAAGAAGGGGCAGCAGCCTTGATAAGTTAGAAGGGAAAAAACTGGAGGATGGGCCCTGTAGGAGCTCAGGAAATTTCACCCACAAAATATGACTCCTTGAAATAAAGAGTATTTAAAGGCCTTTGAAGATCCAGGCATTGGAAGGGGCTTTCTCTCTTCATAACAAAAAAATCTATCAAAAAGAACAATTGAATTCTCTCTCTGTCCCTGTTATTCCAATGTATTGCAAGAAGGAAGAGCCTCATGAATGTCACCAGACCTGGCCCAAACCATCTGAAGGTAATATCTGTCTGGCTGAGGCAGGAGGATCCCTTGAGCTCAGGAGTTTGAGACTAGCCTGAGCAAGAGTGAGACCTTGTCTCTACTAAAAACAGAAAAATTAGCTGATGTTGTGGGGGGGAACCTGCAGTCCCAGCTAGGCCTGGAGGCTGAGGTAGGAGGATTGCTTGAACTCAGCAGTTTGAGGTTGCTGTGAGCTAGGCTGACAGCCATGGCACTCTAGCCTGGGCGACAGAGTGAGATTCTGCCTCAAAACCAAACCAAACAAAACCTGTCTCTCAGGTTAATTTAGTTTTCAAAGAAAATCATTCATAAGTCAATGTTTCCCCCCATCCATTCATTCTCGCAAGTATCTTTTATCCTCCCTAATAACCATTTATTGCCACACAAGATGTTATCTGTATGCCCTCATTTCCAGTATAGTATAGAAAACTAAAACTTCTAGACTTCACTGGGAAACTGGATAATGACTCTGATTCGCAGGCAGGGTAAATGAATCTCTTTCTCTTCTTAATCTGCCTTATTATGAGATGATCTTTTAGCAAACCCCCTACATGCCCTAACCTAAGAATCTGCTTGATAATATGAAAATTGTATGTAAATCAATAGCTTCTCTGTGTCCTGGATGAGAAATCCCCATGGATTTCTGGATAACCCCCCTGATTCCAGCGTACTGATGGATGTCTCCCTGCCTCTCCTCTCGGTGGTGAGGGCATCATGCTAACTGTGGATGGAAAATGAAAAAACAAAAGCGATGTCACTACCAAGTGGTGGAGTTGGCCTCCTCTGCCTGTTTTGCCTCTGGCCCTTTAAGTCACCCTTCTTGCTCCATTCCAAGCATCAAGTTAGTCCATAAAGGAGAGCTATAAATGCTCTCAGGGCTGCCCCACTTCCTCCCCTGCAAAGCTCTAATTGTCCCTCCAAACTCTTGACCAGGAGACTCTGCTCAGGCCCTTTGAACTCGCCCTGCCTCCTCCCACTGATAGATCTCAGCTTTCCTTATCACACCCTTGTCTCTGGAAACACTCCTGGCTCTAGACACTTGGCCAGCATCCCCTGGCTCCCCTCCTTCCCTTAAGATGGGATAGTCTGACAGAAAGTATAGAGCAGTTCAGCAGAAAGAGCGGTCCAGAGAGGGGCGGTCAGGGAAGCTCTGGAGGAAGAGTAGGATCTGATCCTTTGGATCAGTTTGAGGTTGCCGTGAGCTATGGTGATGCCACAGCACTCCACCAGGGTGGCAGAGTGAGACTCTGTCTCAAAATAAATAAATAAATCTTTAAAGAGTGAAAAATAAAATTTTTTTTAAAAGTTAAAAATGAAATAAAGTATAAAATGATCCTTCAGATCAGTGTGGAGGCAGGAGAGTCATATATTCATGGTTTAGTGCAGGGATTGGTAAATTATGGCTCAGTGCAACTCGTAGATAAAGTTTATTGGGACACAGCCATGGTCACTTGTTTATGGATTGTGTCTCGCTGCTTTTGAACTTCCAAAGACTGAGCATTGCCACAGAAACTGTGTGGCCTGCAGAGCCTAAAATATTTACTAATTGGCCCTTTGCAGAAAAGCTTGGCCAACCCCTGGTTTAGTGCCTGAGGTTTCTACAGACAGAGAGTGATCTGAGGATCTCCAGTCCTGCAAGACTGCTTCATTGTGGCATGATAATCCCACATACCTGGGAAACACATAATAATCTCCTCTCTGGGTTATTCGTATGTTAAAGGCTCATATTCAATGAGCCTTCATATGTTAAAGGCTCTGACAAATCTTGCATAGAACCCAGCATTTCCCCAACTTCTTTAATCTACCCCACCTCCTTGTCCTCAGAACACTTCTTCACATCTTGAGAATCTAGTGTTAGAACAGCCTGTGTTCTCCCTCCATCCCTGCCACCAATGAGGTGAGTGACTGGCTGGATCACACACCTCTCAGGGTCTGCTTCCTGCTGGGTGGCATGGGACAAAGGAGTCTGTTCTAGCCTCCTTATGGATTTTTTCGGGGCAGGATGATACTGCCCTTTACAAATCCACAAAGGGGTGCAAAGTGAGAACTATAGTGAAGGCCTAGTACTCCAGGAAGGCACATATCTAACTGAAAACAATGGTAATTATCAGCCACTATCCCCTCCCTTGCTTGATATTAATCCGCCACTGTCCCCTTGTTTGCTTTTCTACAGTTGCTACTCTGAAGTCACATAGCTGGTGGTCATAAAGACTCCTAACTTTCTCTGTAGATAACATAAACTTTTTGAAACCTATAGATAGTTTCTGAGATATCTTCCACACTCTACATTCCAGTGGATTGGCTTGCTCACCCAGACCAGTGGCCTATACCAAAGAACTGACTCTACTGGAATTGTGACTTCTAACCCCAAGAACCAGCTCAGGAAAGAAGGCAACGTCTATATCCCTATGGTTCTGTCCCAGGCAATTGGGTCTAATTAGCAGACCCAATTGCCTAGCCTTTTACCTGCCAAATTGTCTTTAAAAATCATTTCTCCCAAATTTTCAGAGAAATAGATTTGAGAAATTCCTCCCATCTCCTGGCACGGTGTTTGTGAAATTAAACTCTGCTGTAACATGTGCTATCTCAGTATATTAGCTTCTTCTTGAGCAGCTGGCAATGAACCTGGTTGGGTGGTAACAAGGTCACTGAGAGAGTGAGCATGAAAATCATTTAGAGAGATGACTATGGTATCATTGATTTTTGTCAATTAGTTTTGCTTTGATACATTGCTTAGCAATGGTGAAGTGGAAAAGGCTCCAGACCAAGGTCATGAGTTCTCTCTTCTAGTCCTCACTCTGCTGTTACTAAATGGGTTAACTGTGTGACTTTAAACAAGTGACTCCTCCTCCCTCTGGGCCTCAGTTAACTCGCTTCTAGACTGAGAATTTTAGACTAATCCCTAAAAATCTGTTAGATCTGAAATTCTTTGATTCTGTTTGGTTAGATGCGTGCAACTTTCCTGCTTTTCCAAAACAACAGGTCTTTCTCACAAGCCATGAAAACTGCCTCCCTGAGTTTCTTGGTATGGTGTCCTGGTTCAGAACCAGATCTAAAGAAGCGTTCCTGGGGGCTTTCTGATGCTGCAGATGGCTTAGAAGGTACAGCTGAACCTTCTGGAAATATCTACCTGACAATTCTTAACTAGATACTGGAGTCTTTCTTTCCCTTTCCCATTGCTCAAAGGCTGTTCTGTCCAAATATGGAGTCCAGGCAGCTTGCCCACAGATCTAACAAAAGAAAAGAGCAGATATGATTCCCAAAAAGACAGTGGGGCCTGAGGCAGGGCATGAGGTTACATGACTATAAGGCAGAAGCCACATAAAATTCTTCTCTTTTGTCCCTCACTGCACCCCCAAAGCCATTTTCCAGCTTTATCAACAGTCCTCGATATGAAGGATTTATAAGCAGGATTTATAACAAGAGGAACTTTATGAAGAAGGTGAGACTCTACCGAAAACACCCCCTCCTTCCTCAGTTTAGGAAAATCCCAGAAAATCTTGACTGGGTCAAAAGGTTTACACTACAGCATAATAAGCATTGGGATGAATGGGGAGCAATGGTGTGAGGAATGCTCTTCCTCCTTTTGGTCTGTGTGTAGAAACCACCTGTCTGTGAGGTCATCTAGGGGACTCCCAAATGCAGGGCAAATGCCCAGGGGGATTCAGAGCTCCTGAGTGGACAAGGTCCCCAGAGGCCACTGGGCCATGCCCTCCCACTCGGCCAATCAGCCACAGATATTTATGGGGATCCTACTAAGTTAAATTTGTCTGGGGACACAGAGAGGTGGATGAAGCACAGTTAACTGTCCTAAAGGAGCTCAGAATCTATTTGAGATGACAAGACTATTATACATGAGGATGAAGACATGTGTACAGCAGGCTGAGTCAGAAAAGGAGGTGCCTAGCAAGGGCCGAGAGTGGTGATAGAGAATTCGTTGTTTTCCATACTGTTTGGAAGCCTCTTCTATTTTCAAACATCTGGGAATGCAAATTCCACATTTTTCCTAGGTGCCATCTTCCAGGGTTTAATAAACCCTTTCCTTCTTTGAGTCCTATGGTCCTTTGGTCAGGGACAATGCTTGAGCTTCTTGGACCCACAGATGGTCAGCCCGTACTTCCCCAGGTACAGCCCCACCTGCCTCAGCTCCTCTTCATGTAGGTGGAAGAAGGATCCTGAGAAGAGGCTTTCATCCTGTTCCTCTTCCATGGTGACTGAGCAGTTTATCTTTCCATCCCTCAGGGCCCTGGGTCTCTCTCTGGGATAGTCGGGCTGGCTTGGGCAATAGGAGGGTCTTCCTGGATCATCTTCCTTTCCACGTGGGGCAGCTGGTCCGCTTGGTGGCTTGGCTCCAGGAAATGTGTCATCTGAATCAGGGTGACCCTTGGTGCTCTTTCTGCCTCCTGAGCTGCAGAGACACAGAGCAGGCTGTGAGGGCTCTGGGCATGGACAGCTCTGAGTTTGATTTCCTGAGAACCACCCCCACCCACCACAATTGTTTGAGAACTTCCTGACACAGAAAACTGGCAACTGCCAGCCTAGCCCACTGACTGGGGCCCTGGGTCTGATAATCTTAGACTCCTCCACTTGCTCCTAGGAAAATCTCAGTTTCTTTATGAGGTCTAAACATGAGTGCTCACTTTAAGAGTATTTAACCTGGGCACATTTCTATCAGAGAATTTCAGCAGGGGTATAAAGAAGGAAGGGAGCAAATGCAAGGTTTGATCCCAGGTCTGGGCCCTGCCCTCCTGCTCTCTGCTACTAGATGGCTTACATGGCTGCATGTCTGTTTAGTGGATATCTTATAATCTTCCAAAAGCTTCTCCTTAAGTTTTGGTATGACCTTGAGTCGTAAGTACAGAGATGATTTTCTTATTTATTGATTAAGAAACTAAGGCCAGGCCAGGTACGGTGGCTCACACCTGCAATCCTAGCACTCTGAGAGGCTGAGGCAGGTGCATTGCTTCAGCTCAGAAGTTCCAGACTAGCCTGAGCAAGAGCAAGATCCTGTCTCTACTGAAAATAGAAAAAAACTAGCTGTGCAGGGGGGTGCATGCCTATAGTCCCAGCTACTTCATAGGCTGAGACAAGAGGATTGCTCAAGCCCAAGAATTTGAGGTTGCTGTGAGCTATGAGGACGCCAGGGCACTCTACCCAGGGTGATAGAGTAAGCCAAGGCCAAGAGTGGTTAAATGGCTCAGACTAGAATATAGTACTTCTACATTCAAAAGCCCTCAAATGATTTCATCCCACCCAGATTGGAGGGTGTCGGGTGGGAACAAGCACTCCTCTCCTTAGCCTTGGGGCTACTTAAACTTAACTCACAGGTCCTCCTTCTTGAGAGCTTCCTTTGCAATAGGACCAGAGCCACGAGCACAAGTGGGACCAGTATGGTAGAGACTGGAGTCAGGATGCGGGAGCTGTTCTTTTCTGGAAAAGCACTGGAGTGGGGATGGAAAGAGTAGAGAAAAGAAGAGGTTGGAGTCAAGATAGAAGATGAAGTGTCATTTGGCCCACACTTCTCATTTTGTAGGTGAAGAAGCTGAGGACACAGCAAGTTGGCTGCCCTAGTTCCCACAGCTGGTTAGTAGCAGAGCTGGAACCAGAACCACTGTCTTCAGGTTCCCAAGCCCCAGTCCTTTTCCCTACTCCAGCCGCCTGTGTGTGGGCCCCTCTACATGCCACAGTGAGAAAGAGGACCAAGTGGGAACTGGGGACTCCAGTCTTGGCATTTGTCTCTGCCATAATCTTTTCTTGTGGCTTCAGAGAGTTACCTCCTCTCACGAAGCTTCTAATCTTCATCTTAAAAAAATAGAAAGTCCTCAAGATTTCAGCCTAAAAATGCTATCATTCTATTATTTACATTTTACTTGAAATCCACATGAAAATAATCAAGGAGTACTCTCACAATGAGACAGGTATCCAAAGTGTGTGTCACTGTCCTGCAGGTACAAAGGGACAGAAGTAAGCATCTGTCCTGCTCATGCAGGGGATGAGTCACATGTGGGTCCCCAGCTGAGAAGAGGGGCCTGGGTCTTACCTTTTCCTGGATGACTCTTTTCCAGGGGGCCTTGGATAGCCTGCTATTGGGGGACCACTGTCTTCAGTAGCACCATCTCCATCTGCTTCTGTGCTTCCTTCCATAGATGCTGTCTCTATGCTGGTGGTTGCTAAGGTCCACATGCCTGTACCTGGGATTGTTCCTTCAATGGAGCTCAGAAATCGTTGTTCAGAAACCGGTGTTGCTTCTTGGAGGGTTTCCCAGGATAGTTTTTCTGAGACCAGGGCTGATGGCCTCATGGTTCCTATGACCTTTGTGGCTGCATCTAGAGCTATCTTGACCCCTTCTGTTTCCTCCCCTGGCCTGTCAGCCATGGTAGTTGTTATCTGCCTCCTATCATTGCTGACAACAGCCCTGTTTGTTATTGAGCTTCTGGTGCCCCATATCCAAACACCTGCTGTTATGTTGGAGATGCTTCTGGTTTTTGAAGCTGGACTCTCTGGAATGGGAACGGTGGCCTTGATGGGTCCCACCACCCAGACTCCTGTCCTTGCTGTTCTGGTTGTTCCTGGGGTTTGACTTCCCTTAGCTGAAGCTGTGGTGCTGGCTCCAAGGGTTAGAGCAACTCTGTCCTGTTCTGTGCCCTGTCCTTCTGTGGTCTGGGTGGGTCCTGGGGTCCATCTGTTGGCTGCTGGAGGTGCTATTCCAAAGGATCTTGTGGTGAGGCCCCCATCAGCTGAAGTGGCTATGGGGAGGGTGCTGGAAGGACCTGTGGGGATAACAGAGGGAGGTCACATGGGAAGGCTATACAGGTTACCTACTGGATTTGGCAAAGGACATTGGGCTTAAAATCTTTGCCAGATATAATTCCACCTTACTAAGAGATGTGGTCTTCAGGCAATGTGTTGGATAAAATTAAAATTTGGGCCAGGCATGGTGGCTCACACCTATAATCTCAGCGATTTGAGAAGCTGAGGTGGGAAGATTTGAGCCCAAAGTCTGAGGCTGCAGTGAGCTATGATGACATCACTGCACTGCAGCCTGAGTGACAGAGATCCTGTCTCATAAAATAATAAAATAAAATAAAATAGTGGAAAATTCAGTTACTAGTCTGCTGCAATCATTGACGTGTCATATTCCCATCTCCCAGGACCACATACTCTCTAGCCAGATGTCCAGAATCCCCTTGCTGTCCCCTGTCCCCACAGCAGCCCCACAGCCCAGTAAGTATTGCTCTTCAGCAGATCACTGGAAAGCAGCATCTAATAAGGCTAACGTGCCCTCAGCTGCCTCCTAACATGCCCTCTCTTCTGTAGAGTGGGCTTCCACTGGATGCCTTCCCATGCTCTGGGTACCTGACTCTGGATTAACCTTCTAGAACCTGCTAGATAAGATCTGGGCCTAGTAGTTGTCAGATGTTTGCTGAGAGGTTCAGTGAGGGTCTGTGGTAGGAAAAGCCCAGTTGCAACTCTTCTGTCCTGCCTGCCACACCTCCTCTGCAGTGCCACCCCTTGTCTGCATGTCTGAACATGGAGCCATCAGGACTCTAAGAGGCCACATTATTCAATTCATTACCCTTTTGGAACTATCTCTAAATATGTATTTTACATATTCGGGGAGAATTATGTATTCAGTTGGAAAGTTTATCCTACTCTCTTTGAAAAAATGAAAGCCTACTTCTTAAAGTCTTTGCCTCACCCCTAACTTGTATCATCACTCCTCTAATATTTAAAGCCCTCTTGGTTCTCCCGGCCTTCTCTTGTACCTTCTCCTTCCTAGCATTCGCTTCCCCAAGCTCGGTGCATCAGATGTCCACTCTTACCTGCAGAGACAGTAAGATTCATGCTAAAGAACAGCATGGCGTTTCCATCCCCAATGCCGCAGTGGTAGCATCCCACGTCATCCAGGGATAGCTGGGACATCCTGACCACAAAGAAGCCTTTCTGTGGAAAGTCCACTAGAGCCACACGGTTGTGATAGTGAGGATGAGTGTAGTGGTTGGTGGACACAATGGTGTGGCAGATCCACCTTGGGGGTCCCAGACGGCACCAGTACTTCCTCTGGTGCTTGTTGACTGAAGAGGGGGCATAATGGCACTGGATAGTGACAGCTCCCCCAGGCACTCCAGACACCAGCCTTGGCCCCTTCAATGCATTTGCAGCTGCAGGCAGAGGAAAAAGTCAAAGGAGGGGGAAGGGTGAGTATAATGACCATCACAAGCTCCAAACTATGCCAGAATTAGGGGTCAGGTGAGAAAAATCCACTGTAAAAGTAGAGGGTGTCAATGTAGAAATGGTAGAGCTTGGCTAATGGGGAAGCCAAGGTCACCCCAAGATATGGAATAGACCTATCATCAGAGCCCCATGTGAAAGATGAAGCAATACCCTTACCCACCATTCAGCTATCACTTAGCTAAATGTGCAGGTGTTCTCATACAAGTCCATCCAGAGCCTAGGGTCACTCCACTGTGCTCCAAAGCAAGGTTTAGGAAAGATATCATGTAAGCTCATGGAAGAGGGCTGAGGTAACATCTGACAGGAGGGCCTCCCAGTCTCTCATTGGGCTGGACAACTACACATGATAGGCTATGGCTGGAGCCAGCTCTACAATCTCTTCCTACAGCCCTGGAGAGGCTGTTTAGCATACTGCTTCAGGATATGGGTAATGTCATCTACCACTAGGGCTGACATCAGGGAAATGCAAGGGCTGCCTGCAGCCGGAAGGAGCCTGGCTGAGTCTGAGAGACTGCAAGAGGTCTGTGCTAGGACAAAGGACAGTAGGGGCTGCACCTGCCAAAGGACTCTCCTGCCAGCAGAGGGATGAGGAAGGCATTTCAATGGCCCAGAGGTGGGTCCCAGAGGGGAGAAAGCCGTCCTGTAGCCATCTGAGATAGGGTCTTCTGTGTGGAGGGGTCAAAGAAGAACCTGTAGCAAAGGGAGGAGGTGGGTTATTAGGGGGCTAGCCAAGTGTCCACAAAGGCACCCACAAGAGGAAAAGGTCCAGAGCCAGCTCAAACCCCCCCCCCCCAGGCCAGAGAGTGCCAGGTTCTCCCACCAGCTGATGAGACCTGCCTTTCCTCTCGCCTCTCTTCCCTCCCACTTCTACCACTCCCCTGTTGAGGACCCCCCCTGCCATGGCCACTGCCTAGATGGGGAGAAGGAAGGGAGAGGAACAGAGAAGGCAGCAATCACACTCCCTTTTAGCAATCACACCCCCTTTTTGGACTGCAGGACTTGGGAGGAAGAAGGGGTATACCTTTGAACGAAGATTAAAGTGTTAACGAAAACATTTAACTAAACATTTAAAATGATTGAATTGGCAAGGCATGGGAGGCCAAGATGGTAGGATCCCTCGGTGCCAGAAGTTTGAGCCACATAGTGAGATCGCATCTCAACAAAAAATTAAAAGAGCTAGTTAGATGTGGTGGTGCACACTTGTAATATCAGCTACTTGGGTGGCTGAGGTGGGAGGATTGTTTGAACCCCAGGAGTCTAGGCTGCATTGAGCTTTGATGATGTCACTGTATTCCAGCCTAGGTAAGAGAGTCACACCCTGTCTCCAAAAAATAAAAATAAAAATAAAAATAATCAAGTTTAGACTATTTGAGACTTAAAGCAATTAATTTAGGACTAATTACCTATATGTTAGTAGAAAAACCATGGGTCTATCTGCATTTTCATTTGGGTCAGGGAAGCCTGCTCTTACTGAAAAATTTTAAAGGGACCAATAGATTAAAATAAAGAGGTGGTATGATTGATTATTTCATCAAGAATGCTTATTCAAATGTTAGCTATTTTTCATTCATCAACACTCTGATTTGTTTACAAGGCAGATAAATCATTAGTCCTTTGTTGGTATTATTATGGAATTTTCATGCTTTCATCCATTTATTCAATACATACTTATTAAGCATCTGCTTGGGACTAGGTTCTAGGTACTAGATACTCTAGGTGCATACTCACTATATTCCTCAGTGGCTCCCTATTGTCATCAGAATAAATTCCAGCTACCACAGCATGGAGAGGGGGTCACTTGTCATCTGACCCCCTGGTCTATACCAGGCCAGCTTCACCACACTAGCCTGTGAGGACCTTTAGGGCAGGGCTTCTGTCTTTCATTTATCTGTCCCCAGTGCCTGGCATATAGTAAGTGCTTCATAAAAATGTGTGTGAATAAATAAGTAAATAAGTGAACATAATTTCTATGTAGTCATATAGTTTCTTTGTAGGCTCTGAATTCTTTAGGAGTAGAGAGGATTCTTCATCTTTATGTCCCTAAGTGCTGGGCCTGGCAGTTGTCTGTAGAATGCAGGGTTGGAAACACTCCTACTTCTGCCTTTTGCATACCCTGGAACACTTGTCTTGAAAATGCAGCTGGATTTCAGTTAGCAACTGACATTTCAGTAAGCAACTTACTTCCAAGCCTCTTCATTTAGCAGAGTCGTGGAGGATATCATGATAGAAATGCTAGAAATCATCAGGTCAGGCATATGCCCCCTCGTGTGAGCTCTCACCTCCTTCATCTTCCTGGACCCAGATCTGACCACTCCCTGGAGCTACTGCGTGGCCTTGGATCCCAGAAGAGAAAGCCATGGATGTACCCAGTGCCACCGTGGTGGCCATCAGGACTCTCTGCAGCTTGGAAGACTCAGGTCTGGTTTTGCAAGCTCTGAATATGGGGCCCAGTATGGGGCTTACCTTGTAGCAGGCACAGGATGAGGAGAAGGGGCATTTTCCATCTTGCCCTCTGGGCAACCTGCAAAATACACTATAAATGAAAAGAAGCCTGAGAGAAGCTGGAGTGAGCAACAGTGGGACCTGGGCGGGCACCTTCTCACTCGGGGTTCTCAGTTTGCCAGCCCAGTGGCTGTGTTGGATACATCTAAGAGCAAGACAAGCACTGTCCTCCCAAGGAAGTGTGACTCTATCCTCACACTCCTAAGCATGCACGGTTGTCCTGGGTCACTCTGTCAAGGCAAACATTTCCCTTACCCTGAGGTTCTTGTGTTCAGAGGAGGTGAAACTCCATCTGTAAGATCCCAACCCTGACCCTCACTTGCCAACCTAGAGCTTTGAACTTGGGGGGGATGGGGGAGTACAGTATAGTGGAAAGAGCACGCATTTGAAGTCCAAACCTTAGTTGGAATTGTGGGACTTTGGAAAGTTAGTCTCAAGCATTCGTTACCTCTCCAGGGGAAGGAGGGAATTTGGACGGGGTTACTGTTGTACAGCTGTAGTGGGATTGTGGTAAAAGTGCCTGGCAATGTGGTATAGGGCAGCCCCGTCCCCCCTTCTCCTCTTCCCTTCCCCTTTGCAGGAGAGGGCATTGACTGCTTCCAGGTAAGCTTTCTGTTCCACTGTCAATATTCCTGTAAATACTGTTAGTATTCCTCTGGTCAGTAACAGCCAGTTAAAAATTAAATCTTAGGCCCTGTGGGTGTCTGCACTCATGTTTTATTCTGTTTCTTTCCCACAATTTGTAGAAAACTCTCCCTATCCCCAGCCTACACCAACTTTCCCCTTGCTGTGGTCTCTCCCACTGGCCTGGAGAACTCCTTGGAGGCAGAACTTTGTGTCTCATCCCTCCCCTTCAGGCTCCGAACGGGACCTAGCACATGGTAGATGTCTCCGCAGCCATTGTGAACAGACACCCACCTCTCTTCGAATGGATACCATACTGATTATTACTTGGTGGTCTTTTTGCTAGTTAAAAAGACAGAGATTATGCATTATACTTCTTTTGTATTTCATTACCCATAGGAGAATGTTTTTCGATTGATTAAAAAATCTGTTCTTTGAATCTATCTTTTGCCTGAAGTTCCTGGGACCTATAGATTAAAAGAAAAAAAGAAAGCAAACTAAAGTTAGCCATGTGTTTTCCTTCCTGGTCTCCTTCCTAAGTCAGTGTTGTTAAGAACAGGCACTAACAGCCAACAGTTTGAACCCTGAGCAGAAACCTGCTGGCTCCCCAACCAGACTGAGCCTGGCAGAGCCACTGGCCTGTTTGGGACATAGGCAGGAGGGGATCAAAGGAGGAGAAGAAGGCAGAGAAGGTAATAGAAGGGGGAGAGAGAAGATAGGCTCAGAGATGAAAGAAAGAAGAGAGGAGAGAAGGAGAGAAAAGCCAGGAGCTCACGGAGTGGCCCTGTAGCTGCAGGTCACCCCCTTAGCGTGGCTCTGCCCAGCCTTCTCCACGGAGCCCTTTGCCTGCTCTTTCCATTAGAGCCCAAGAGTGCTCAGATTTTGAAAAGTCCACAGACTTCTTGCACCTCCTCTGTGTCTTTCCCTTAGCAAATTCTCTGTGGGCACTGACATGGAGGCCTCAGACTTTTCCCTGCCTTACAGACCTTCTGGCTTCCTGCCTTCACCTGGAGGCTTTCCCAAGGTGCACCTGTTCCTAATCTGTAGTTTGATTAAAACTTGCTAAGTGCAGGCTAATTCTGGGGCTGGCACCCAGATTCCTAGTGGGCTATTTTTTCTGAAATGCTAAGTGCTAACGTAGCACACACATGTTGGGGCCAAAGTCTCTGCACCACGCCGCCTGGTACTTCTGATGCCCAGTGGTGTGGCAATCTCTGAACTTCAGGAGAAAAAGCCACCTCCAGGGGCAATGAGGAAGCACAGAGTATGAGATAAAACGTCTCCAGAGAGTTATTAGCCTTGAATGGAGGCTGGAAGGACAACATTCAGCGGAAGGTGTCCAAGTTACCCTCCCTGCCAAATGACCTTTTGAAATCCTTTCTCCAGAAGACAGGGATCTGGAATCAGTAGCCTGGGGCCTCAGGCCTCCATTACAGTATACTGCATTTGGGGGGTGCAGCAGCCTCATGGGGAGACTCTCTTGTGCCTCTGTCCTGCCAGGAAGGGCATCCACTTCACCTTCAGCACAGACTCGCCTATGACTTTCCAGGTCCCTTCTGCTACCCTGAGAAAATCTTTTCTCCTGATCCCCATGCCCCCACCCCATCCCCAGGGCAGCAGACAAGAGGGGAAGGGGTCAGTGTGGTTTAGAGGGAAGAATACAGACCCAGGACCCAGGACAGTCTGCTTCGCCTAAGGCTGGCACAGTAACCTTGACCGATGCTCCTTTCTCCTTCACTATAAAAGAAGAGCTTTGCCTGTGCCATCTCTCTGTTTCTTCTCTTTCTAACACTTATTGCCTCTGAGGACCCAGGCACTATGGTGGGGGTAGGGGAACAGGATAGCACAGAGCTGAGAGGGAGATGCTCTCCAGAGCATCTCTGAACTCCAGAGTCTTTACCTGGCCTCTGGGAAAAGAGCCCACCTGGTCCGGAAAGGACATGCAGGGGGCATGTTTGACAGTTGTTGCTGCAACTCACCCCCCGCAGTCAGGAGCAAGACCCCACTCTCCAGGAGAAAGCCTCCTCTCACCTTTTGTTCTCTGGCTTTTGTTGGGGCTTCTCCAACCATCACAGGCCAGAAATAAGATCCACGTGGACTTTTCTTTTTATCCCTATGAGATGCTGGGGTTTCGCTGTCTTCCAATTTCTCTTCGTTGAACCTGGAGACTGAGAAGTCAATATGGTGTGTCGCAAAGCAGCTGAAGCTGCTAGAAATTGGGGTGCAAGGTGGAGCTCTGCCATTCACCTCAAGTTACTTCTCTCTGGGTTTGATTGCTTACCAAAAGAAGTCAGTCCTAGTCCTTTGTCATTCCTGCTGTCACTTATTCCTGCAGGGCTTTTCCGGGGGTGATAGTAGCTTCAAGGAAAATACTCTGATCTATGGCCTGCCTCTACTCATGGCCCCTCCGGTCCAGGCTCCCAGACTTTTTAGCATGCCCCAGCATAGCGGGCCCATTCAGACATCTTCTGGACAAGTGATGCAACAACTTGGGCAGAAAAGAAGGGAAACTTCAAAATTTAGGAGAGGAATTCCCCTGCTGTCTGGCTGGCAGCAAGTGCCCTCCAGCTGAACTTGGCCCTCCGACTCCCATGGAAAAGCAATCTGGGCAGTTTGGATCACTAACTTCGTTCAACTGCATGGCCTAGTGGTTACTAATTCATGTTCTGGACAAAGCACAATACCATAAACAAGACGATCCTCCTGGAAGGAGAATGCTGACAAATGTGGATTATCTGAACAGATGACACCCTTGAAAAATACCCCAGTATTTCCCTTTGGAAAATAGTTTATGGGTAATTTTGTTCCTTGTAAAAAAGTGTGAACTTCTTACCTCTGTTGGTCTCAAACTGACATTAAAATGGCTGGCACAGCCCAAGCACTCAACAACTAAGGAACTCAAGGGAATGGGGGTGTGCAGGCTATAAATAAGGATCCTCACCTCTGATAGATAATATGGTACCCCTGAGTCAATTAGAAAGGGCACTTCTTCCCTTAAGAGTAGATTCTGCTGTGCAATTTGTTCTTTTTTTTTTTTTTTTGAGACAGAGTCTCACTCTGTCCCCCTCAGTAGAGTGATATGTCATCACAGTTGACAGCAACCTCAAACTCTTGCGCTAAAGCGATTCTCTTGTCTCGGCCTCCCAAGTAACTGGGACTACAGGTGCCGGCTACAATGCCCAGCTATTTTTTTATTGCAGTCGTTGTTGTTCAGCAGGCCCAGGCCGGGTTTGAACCTGCTTGCATTGGTACATGTGGCTGGTGCCCTAATCACAGAGCTATGGGCACTGAGCCCTGTTGCACAATTTGAACACCCCTAGAGGGCAGCATGTATTTTCCTCTCCTTCCCCCTTCCAGGTTTGAAGACAGGTTGAAGATAAGAAGTGAGCCACTGAAAGCAATATGAGAAAAAGAGAAACAGCTCTGTGAGATGCTCAGAGCTTGGCTCAGACAAGGCAGTCTGTGCGTTGTGTGTGTGTTGCTAACTGCATGCACAGCTGAGTGTGCTGTTATCCAATACTTGGTAAGCAGCTTCAGTCTTGGAGCTCCAGATCCTCCCCGTCACCTGTCACCTCCCAAATTAGTTAAAATATGTCTACCATGTGAACAGCATCCCCTTGGACACAGCACCCTTGAGCAGTGCACAACCAGAAGAACTGTACATGGTAGCCCTGCCTTTAGAGACCGCTCCTCGTGTAAGGGGTAGAGAGATGGCTAACGCCTGGCTAGATTCTCCCCTACCAGATCATCAGGGAGCAATCCAGCATCATGTTTGATCACATGGACTCTAGAGTCAGGCTGTCCTTCCCTTAAGTTAATATCCCCTGTAATATGGGTCACATTATTTTTTCTCTTTAAATCTTGGTTTCCTAATCTGTTATACAAGAGATAACAAAGCCTACCTCATAAAGTTATTATGTAGATTAAATGCAATAATCTATGTGACTCAAAGTGCCTACATGCAGTCAATTCTGAGTAAACATTAGCTAATAATATTATTAGCTTAGCTTATAGCAACCAGGAGCAAGTATCTTAAATGATCAAATCCTCAAAAAAAAAAATTATTAGAGTGTTTTCATCTATTCAGGGATCTCCCTCCCTTCCTCCCTCCTTCCTTTCTTCCATCCCTCTTTTTATACCATCATTTTGGTACTTGAAAGATTAAAAATAAATCAATTGGCCAGGTGTCAGCTCACATCTGTAATCCTAGCACTCTGGGAGGCTGAGGCAGGTGGTTCGTGTAAGCTCACAAGTTCAAGACCAGCCTGAGCAAGAGTGAGACCCCTGCTCTACTAAAAATGAAAAACTGAGGCAAGAGGATCTCTTGAGCCCCAGAGTTTGAGGTTGCTGTGAGCTGTGATGCCACAGTACTCTACCAAG